TTCAGTGAAGCTGGTATCTGGAAGAGCCTCTACAAAGCACAAGTTCTTTGAGAAAGCCAGCTTAATCTTCAACAATGCAACATAATGCAGTGGGATTCGTCCAGATACTGTGAGTGAAGGCTCATTCTGGCTGGAACATAGGCATCACCTGCCAGTCATTCTCAGACATAAAACAGACAGGCTAAGAGAGCACATTGGATCCACACAGATTTTTTTTTTTTTTTTAAACAAGAGTTTCACTCTTGTTGCCCAGGCTGGAGTGCAATGGCGAAGTCTTGGCTCACTGCAACCTCCACCTCCTAGGTTCAAGCGATCCTCTTGCCTTAGCCTCCCAAATAGCTGGGATTATAGGCGCCCACCATCACACCAGGCCAATTTTTGTATTTTTAGTAGAGATAGGTTTTCACCATGTCGGCCAGGCTGGTCTCGAACTCCTGACCTCAGGTTATCTGCCCACCTCAGCCTCCCAAAGTGCTGGGATTACAGGCATGAGCCACCATGCCCAGACGGATCCATACAGATTTTGAAAAGAAATTGGTCTATCAACATATTCAGTGTAGTCTAGTCTTAATTATCCACAAATGGATTATTCATTTTACGGATTTCTGAGGCCAAATCTTTAATACAAGATGGACTGTTCTCATCATCAGTGTACTCTCCCCACCATCAGGTCATACAAGCTTAGAAATGCAAATTTGTTTCAATATCAGTATGATCCCCAAACATGAAAATAAATCTGGTTTGAAAAACAATGTATTTTCAAACCAAGAAATGTCTTTATGAAGTTCTGAATTACTTACAACAGCGCTCCCTACGTTAGCAGAGGTAACTGAGAGTTAAATGCACTTCAAACATAATGCTGTTCTTACTATGAGCTCTTGAGGAGAATCCAGCCATAGTCCTGAGACGTCCCCACAGGTTGGTGCACTATAAGACAGGCACAAGCAGGCTCAGCAAAGTAAGGTGTGTAAACACAAAACCTTCTGCAATGACGCTTATGTCTACTGGCTGTATCCCTTCAGGCCAGGATGGTACAGAAAAGAAGAGTCACAATGTACGGGTGCCTGCCTGACTCCTTGTCCCTGAGTTCCTGAACCACAGGGCTCGATATTTCTCATTAAATCCATCCTTTGTTCAAGGACCTACAATGACTCTATTGACCCTCGTATCAACACCCAACAGAGTCTAGCTTCTGAGTCCCCTCCACCCTCTTGCCTGCTCTACCCATGACTTGCCCAACCCACATTCTCGACAGTCACTCTCACATATTCCCCCCACACACAACTTAGTCATTCATACCATCATTGCACACTGTACATTCTATACTTTCGTTTGGAAGATCCTTTCTTTTCTTTTATTCCCAACACAATAACTATTTCATTTACTTGAATGCTCACATTTTACAGATAAGAGAAGTAACTTGTCCAAGGTCACATGGTAAAAAGTAGACCGAAGGTTTGAACGAAGGCCCATCTAACTCAATAGCCCATACCTCTTCATGACTAATCCATAGTCTCCCAAGTCCATTTCAAAATTTGCTGATTCAGAAATCACTCCTAATTTATTTCACTGATTCTTACTTTATTACTTCAAGTCTTCTCAGCCCTTACATACTTCTCAGCACATTAAATTTGCTTTTGTCCATGTTTCCTAAATGTTAAAGCTTACAATAATAGTCTGTGTTCCCATTTATATACCACCTTTCCCCTCCACCCTCAACCCCAAGAGTGAGGACACATGTCTTTACATCTTTTATACCTCCCTAAAGCCTGTCACTGTAGCATGGGTACTGCTTTATCCACAGAAGTGTTCAATCAGGCCGGGCGCGGTGGCTCACGCCTGTAATCCCAGCACTTTGGGAGGCCGAGGCGGGTGGATCACGAGGTCAAGAGATCAAGACCATCCTGGTCAACATGGTGAAACCCCGTCTCTACTAAAACTACAAAAAATTAGCTGGGCATGGTGGCGCGTGCCTGTAATCCCAGCTACTCAGGAGGCTAAGGCAGGAGAATTGCCTGAACCCAGGAGGCGGAGGTTGCGGTGAGCCGAGATCGCGCCATTGCACTCCAGTCTAGGTAACAGGAGCGAAACTCCGTCTCAAAAAAAAAAAAAAAAAAAAAAAAGAAGTGTTCAATCAATACTCAGCAAGGATGTCTTATTTAAAAACAACCAAACAACTCCCTTCTATTATATTAAAAAGTCAGCTGAATTCAGGCATTCATATGAAAACTGCCCTGCATCTATATTCCACTTACACAAATTTTTAATTACCGGAATTTGTCGAAGGCTACAAAAGAGTCCAGTCTGCTCTTTCACAGGTCCTAAGTTCCCATGGGAAACATATTGCTGAGGTCACATATCAAAGCACTGTTTAAGGATTTTTCCCTTTGGCAGGATGAGTGTTTAGGGTAAGGAGAGGCCTACTCATACACGCATACACACACACACACACACACACACACACACACACACACACACACACACTAAAATGGCCAGTATCTTACAACATGCTTAAGATACTGAGGAGCTCCAAAACTTTGACAAGTGGAACTTAGTGCCCTCATAACAATCAGAAAACTTATTTTTAATACTGAATTATTCCACTGCAGTTCACTTGGTTACATACACTGAATCTCAAAATTGCAGATAAAACCTTCTGAGAACTAGGAATACTGATGGACTACCACCAGGCACCTCTCCTCTCACTCCCAGGCTTATTCAACCCCTTCGATCCCCATGCCCTGGAATCAAGTACACAGGTCAACTTTGGGGAGTTGCTAGATGCAGATATAAATAGAATTTACCCAGATATCATCACTAATATTGGCACCAACCAACTCACATAGATCAAAACAATTATCGATAGCAGATTCTGGGAAGGCATATGTGGTTTTTAAAAATTAGATTTTCATCTCCAAATTAAATCTTTTTTTTAAATAGGAGTCTCCAAAGAAAGAGATGAAACAAAGCTTTGGGAAATTTTTCCAAGTTGTTGACAACAAAAGGCCACTAAAGGCCACCTAACGATTAGCATTCATTACTGTTCATCCTGTCTTATATAAGTCATCAGATAGCTAGCTCTTGCATTGGCAAAGTTTTACATTTTTTTCTGAGGGAGCCTTTGGTACTAAAAGCAAGGAATAAGTCAAATAAGGCAACAACAATAAAAAATTAGTTTGGAAACTCTTCCTTCCATCTTTCTTTCCATCTTGAATGTGTAATGTCCAAAGCAGATATCGGTTCAATTCTAAATTATTCATGTTAATGGATAAATATTGGCAGAAAGGTGCTGATAATAAAAAATGGGGTAAAATCGAAAAAACCTATTTTGGTTTTGGAATATGTTTTCAGCTTATTTACCGTCTTAATTATTCCTAGTATCAGCTAATATTTGCATTCGCTTGCAATCTCTAAGTACATAGTAACTGGCCACTTTGGGAGGTGCTCTGAGGCAAGCTGGGTCAATAGTGGAAATTAGAGCGGTCGGGTATTCAGCCTGCGGAGGAACAACATCAAGTTCATTTATTTTACAGTTTTGTTCAGCCTTCAAAATATCGATAGACTAGCACAGCAGGTTGGTTACTAAACTTTAAAAGAACTACTTGAAAAACAATGAAGACAAAGAGTATAATTAATTCTTCATTGTTTGCGCATAATGTATTCATTTGTAAATTATGCACAGCGAATGTTTAACTACCTCTGATTCTCCCTAGCCACCCAACTTCCGTCCCTGAAGTCTTCTCCCCGTCAGGAATGCCATCTCATTTACTAGGAAGAAAATGTTCTAAATGTTTTCGAAAGTTACATAGCGGGCGGAGTGGGGGGAGTTACATAGCATAGAAACTATTCTTTAAATATTTAGGGGTTAGCTACTCTTTTGGACCAGTCTTACCGCCACCTCTTTCTCTACTCTGTTCTTTTCCACCTTTGAACTAGATTCTGAAAGACAAAGGGATCCAGCCGCCTTGAAAATCTCCTAAATATACAGTACTAGAGGCCAACGACTGAAAAATTAGCAGCCTGTGAATTTCTAAGGAAAGCGTTACGTAGGACGTATAAAAAGACAAGGAAAATAAAAGTCAACGTACTGCTAATTCTCGACTTTGCATTCATGAAAAGCTGCCTGAGAAGTTTGTGGGGAACCTCTTCCATAAAATTCCACCAGTCAGCTTCTTTCTACTTTCAAATTTTTACATCTGTATTGTACCCTGAGAAGCCACCTAGGTTAGACAGAAAGACTACCACGAGGAGGGAGAGAGAGACTCTGAGCGCTGGTCCTTGTGAGCCGACAAGCTAAAAATACGCCGGCCCAGTAAACAAATCCCATTCCATCCCGACCAGAGCCACACCGTTAACCTAGTAATTATGAGAAGAGTGAGATCACGCAGTCCCCGGCTTACTCATCATCAGCTTCTAAAGTTTCCATCGGCTCATGACAACTTTTCTTTTTTCTAAAGTTCTTAAGACTGCCCTAGAATCCGTCAGCCTCCGTCTCTCACTCTCTCACACACACACCTTTTTCTCGCCTTTCCTCCATTACCTTATGCACCTTAGTTTGGCTATCAATAGGGAGAATAAGCTTGTTTGCTTTTCATTTTAGTTTTATATTGAGATTTTAAATGAACTTCATCCTACTGTAGGGGTAGTAAACTGCATCTTAATCACCTTAAAACTCCACCATCCCTCCCGAAAGTCTAGCTGACAAGGGGGGACCGCCCAAACTGCCCAGCACAGCTCAGGAAGGGAGGCCGGGAGCTGGAGAGCGCGGGGTAGGAACGCAGGACGCAGGTGAAAGGGAGGAGGAAACGGAGGAAAGGCTGGGACGAAGCAAGGAGCAGCCAGGGCGAGAAGGGAGTGCCGGGGGAGACGGCTTCGGCTGAAACGGATTCAGAAAGGAGAAAGGGGGCAGTGGCGATCAGAGGAGCAGAGTTTGGGAGTCTGAGAAGCCGGGAGGGGCGGGAGCAGACGGGGGACGGTGTCAGGGCGGGGGGCTCCATTACCCTCGCGGCTCCCGGGGCAAGGCCCTAGGCCGGGGCGGAGCGCGGGGCCCGGCCGCCTCTCCTCATTCCTCGCCAGTGACCCCGGGGTCCGGCCGGCCCCTCCCCCGACGGCGATGGAGGCGGAGGCGGTGGTGGAGACTGCGACCGCAGCTGTTGCTCCGCACAGGATCTGGAGCCGGAGCCAAAAGGGACTGATCGGGGCTGGCTTCCCCAGCGGCTTTTTGCCCGCTCCACACCCGGTCGCCACTCCGGCTCCGGCGGCTGGTTCAGGATCGGTGGCTTTCGGCTGTCCGGCCGGAAACAAGCGCCAGTTTCCGGCCGGAGCGGGTTGGTGGTGACACCCAGGCCGCCCCCGGGCCTCCTCCCGCCCCGCCCCGCCCCGCCCCGTCGCAGCCCCGCCCTTAGCGCTGCTCCCCGGGCTGCGGCCAGTTTGGCGCTTGCCCCGCGCGTGACCCCTTGTTTTCCTGACCTGCGTTCCTAAAGCTCCTGGTCTGGAGCGTTCTTGAACCGGAGCTGGAGGGGTACAAGGTGGACTCTTAGGACTCTAGAGTAGAATCAGTTGGCTTCAGCCGTTGGAAAGCAGCTGAAAGGGGTGGAGTAGTTGTAGAAAGGTGAGAGGGATGAACATACCTCAGAATGAAAAGACTGAAATTCTAGTAACTACACAATCGTTCTGGAATGACCGGAGGAAAATTCTCTTCTTCCAGACCAGCCCCTACCCAGTTATGTATTGCTCTTGTTCCTTCACTCTTGAAGTGAACATACCCTTCTCTGTAAACACACTTAATATTTATTTACTTGCATAATAATGATCCCCTGTTGACGCATTTGCTTTAGACTTCCTAACACAGTAAAAAAAAAAAGTTACATAGTGTGTTTGTTTGTAATGTCTTTTAAAACATTCTGGCATCATTCAAATATGTATTTTATCCCTGTGATGTGTTTCATTGTGCTCAGTGATATACGGGGATGCAAAAATTAACAAGCATAGTCTCAGACATCAAAGGTTTTGCAATTTAGTAAAATAGATAAAACTATATTAGATGTAGCAGAACTTGTATGTGTCCTATGTAAGTGACAATGAGCTGTGGCTATGAGAACATAAGCCATCCCTGCCACATAGTAGACCTTCCCTATTTGTTAAATGAATAAATATTAGGCCTGGTTGGGCTGTTTCTAAAAAGAAAGGCCATTTAATAAATACCTCTTTATGAGAAACACAAAACTATGTCAAAGACATCTGAAATTTTAATTCAGATTCCTAACATTGTAGCACCTGGTCTGCATAATGTTTATTGTCTAATTGGGCCCATTATTCCTATGTAAAAATAAATATTCTAGTCAACTTTTCTTTCCCCTCACTTCTTCCTCAGTTTCTGAAGGGGAGGTGTGGGGAATACACATTTTAGAATTGTCTAGCTCAGAATAGGAAACTAGCACCTGAAACAGGAAATTTCCTAAATATCTGTATCTCTTAGGGATGCACCTGGGTTTGGAGTTGAAAATTTAGGGCTGGGCCCAAGGGCGCCCATACATACTAAGCTGACTAAGGCCAAACAGGTCCGAGTGCCTTGCATGGGGGTATATCCAGGACCTACAATACAGGTTGACAAGTAAAGTCGTTTGGCCTGGGCTTCAAGCATTTGGGGACCACAAATTTTAGCTGCCATTTAGTGGCAAATTTGAGGAGGAGAGCAGGATGAGATTTGTTCACCTAAATTGACTCTAACTGAACTGAACTGGAGAGGTACAGGGTGGACTCTTAGGACTCTCGGTAGAATCAATTGGCTACAGCTGTTGGGAAGGAGCTGAAAGGGGTGTAGTTCTAGAAAGGTGAGAGGGATGAAAATACTTCAGAATGAAAAGACTGCAGTTCTAGTAACTCTGCATAATCATTCTGGAATGATTGTGGCAATCACTGATCACACCTACCCTTTGCTAGATAAAGCTGGGGTGGGAGCACAGATCTGTAGAAGAGGGGCCTCACAATCTGGAAGTTGCCTTGTTTCACCACAGCTATCCCGAACCAGGTCGTACCCTTAGAAGTATGTCTTTCTAGCCTTCACACCACTGCCACAGACTTCTTAAAACTCTCTACTCTCAATCTAAGACAGACTTTTTCTCTTGGCAGTGACCATAAAAAGGCTCTGGATTTGAAAGCTGGGCCAAGTTGCTGGTCAAAGTCATTCAAGTGACCACACTTTATAGGCTTGCCTGGAAATTTAGGGGCCAGGAAGTGACGGGGTCGCAGTTGCTTTGTGCCTGTTTCTTGCTCTGACCATCCATCATTCATTGTTGTTTATGTAGTTGCTCAATGGGCTGCTTGTCTTTGGTCAGCCCAGGCTGTGTGGGTAGCAGTGTGGTCAGCTGGGCTGGAAGCCAGGCCACCTGTGTTCTGGTCCCAGCTCAGCCAGCCTCTAATCCATTAAGTGACTCCCTTCTCATTCCTGTGTGTCAGTTTCTCTGCCTAGAAACTAGAGGCTTCTCTAGTGATATGCAGCCATTTAGGCTGGCACTAGGTTGGATGCTCAGAGGCAGCTGTCTGACATAGACATTGGCAGCAGCCAGAACACAGTTGACTATATTTTGCTGCCAGGTAGAATAGTAAGGGAAAAAAGGTAAAGGCAGCAGAGAAAATCCTACCAGTATACACAGGGCCACACACCCTCAACTGCTGTTCTGTCCAAAGTTATTTTCCACTCTAGAGATCTGTTTTTGTTTACTTATTCTAAGGGCTGCTTCAAGGAGCTCCATGAGCTTTTACATCACTTTAAGCAAGAGCAGAAAAACCAGAGCTTTGCATTTCACCAGAGAAACTAAAAAAAGAGACTATTTCAATATTGGGGCTAATGGCTAGAGTTGGGGAAAATGTTCAGAGAAAGCTTGTAGCTAGGCAGGGGAAACAATTATTTACATTTATATGCTTTTGTGGCAGAAAAGAAAACCAAACTAAAATAACTTCCTTTCCCCTGCCACCAATATAATTTAGACCATTGGTTCTGGGAAGTTTTAAAAAACTACATACTATACATGCCTAGGAACCTCAGACTGACTCCGAATTCTTGGGACTAAAGACCATGAATCTATATTTTAAAAGTAGATATAGATATATAGATATACATATGGGGCTTAGCCAGGCATGGTGGCTCCTGCCTGAAATCCCAGCACTTTGGGAGGCCAAGGCAAGAGAATGGCTTAAGCTCAGGAGTTTGAGACCAGCCTGGACAACATAGGGAGACCCCATTTCTACAAAAACAAAAATATTAGTCGAGCATGGTGGTACATGCCTGTGGTCCCAGCTACTAGGGAGGCTGATGTTGGAGGATCACTTGGGCCTGGGAGATGGAGGCTCAGGGAGCCAGGATTGCACCACTGCATTCCAGGCTGGGTGACAGAGCGAGATGTATCTAAAAAAAGAAAAAAAGAGGCCAGGCGCGGTGGCTCAAGCCTGTAATCCCAGCACTTTGGGAGGCAGAGGCGGGTGGATCACGAGGTCAAGAGATCGAGACCATCCTGGTCAACATGGTGAAACCCCGTCTCTACTAAAAATACAAAAAATTAGCTGGGCATGGTGGTGCGTGCCTGTAATCCCAGCTACCCAGGAGGCTGAGGCAGGAGAATTGCCTGAACCCAGGAGGCGGAGGTTGCGGTGAGCCGAGATCGCGCCATTGCACTCCAGACTGGGTAACATGAGTGAAACTCCGTCTCAAAAAAAAAAAAAAGAAAGAAAGAATCCTGGGGGGGTGGGGAGGTTTCATAAGATTAAACACCTAGTAATTCCACTCCCTTGGAATTTAGCCAACAGAAATGAAATATATTTGTCCACAAAAAACTTACATGTTAATATTCACTATAGCTTTATTCATAATAGCTCCAAACTAGAAACATTTCAAACATTCATCAATAGAAAATTTGTTACTTGTATTGTTCCTACAGTGGAATATGATTTTAAAAGATAAATGACCATTAAACACAACAATATGAATGAGCCTTGGACTCATTTCTGCTGAAAAAAAAAAAGCCATTTGTGTGAAATTAAAGAACCGGCAAACGTAATCTTGAAGATAAAAATCAGAACTGCGGTTAATTAGGGGGAGGTGACGATCAAATAGAAAGGGACATGAGGGAACTTTCTGAGGTGATGAGAATGTTCTATATCTTGATAAGGATGGCTGTTACACACAAACATCAAATTGTATCACTATATGTTAATTTTACCTCAGTTTAAAAAAATCCAGGATTTCTTGATGACATTTAACCAGGTTAAACATTTACATTTACATTTACTTGTGGATTATTTGATTGATATTTGCTTCACCCATTAGATTCTGAAGCTCCATTAGCTCAGTTTACCATTTTATGTATAGTATCTAGCATAGTATCTGACCCATGGCAGTCATTCATTCAAAATCTATTAAGCAAATGAATGAATGGTCAGCCAATTGGCAGTTGAAAGCACTGCTTTGGTAGATTATCATTTCATATTTAGCCTCTTGTAACAGTATAGCTGAGCCTCCCTGTTCCCAGGCTTGAGCCACCGCGCCCGGCCATTGCTAAGTTGTTTTTGTTTTTGTTTTTGTTTTTGTTTTTTTGAGATGGAGTCTGGCTCTGTCGCCCAGGCTGGAATAAGTGGTGCAAACTCAGCTCACTGCAACCTCCACCTCCTGGGTTAAAGCAACTCTTGTGCCTTAGCCTCCTGAGTAGCTCGGATTACAGGTACATGCCACCATGCACCGTTAATTTTTGTATTTTTAGTAGAGATGTTGGCCAGGCTGGTCTCAAACTCCTGACCTCAAGTGGTCCATCCGCCTCAGCATCCCAAAGTGATGAGATTACAGGCGTGAGCCATGACGCCTGGCCACTTCCTAAATTATTTCATGGATGCTTTCTCTCTTTTCAAAAACTCTAGCAAACATGTTGGTTGCTTAAGCAATGTCCATCCTCCTTCTTCCTCCTTGCGAATAAAACCTTGATTAGGTTCAGGTAGCCATCCTGCTCTACACAGCTTCAGGGTAGACTGGCCTCACTAGAGGGGGTGGGGGCTGAGTGGGAGAAACATGAGTGAAACACTAATGGGTCATGGGGCTCCATTCCCCTTGCCAGTGCTTGGTCTAGGCACGTGATAGGGTTCTGACCAAGGTGAGATATGAGAAAATCTGCTGGAGCCTTTTGGGAAAAACTTCTTTGCTCTTACAAAGAGACAAAAAGAATAAACTACTTTCTTCTGCTGCTGAAAGTTGTTGGATTTGAAAATGTGCTGGTCAGAGGCCAGACTGAGATACTAAGGATGACAGAGCAAAAATATTAAAAG